TGTTTTAGGGAGAATTATGGGGTGTAAAGAGATATAAGGTTCGGCACTTCTGTTATATAAGGAAGCCAAAAATTGGGACTGACAGGGCCAGTGAAATGGAGTCTTTTTTTTTTTTTTTTTAAATACCTTGTTTAATCTAGTTTGTTCAGCTCTCTGTTTTAATTAATTTAATTGCAGGATAAAATGAATTCTGTGTATTCTGTTGCAGTTGACGGAATTCTCGTTATTGCTGGGGAGACAAATTCTACTTCTAAGGCATGACAAACATTCACGGAAATGCCTAGAGAATAAACTGACAGTTTGACAGGTAGATTAGATTGCACAAATATGCAATGAATACCATACACAGACATGATGACATACGCCAGGGTTAAAGTAATAGCCACAAGAAGAGAATTTAGATGTTATATACTAACTATACAATTAAAACTACAGATTACCCGTAGCTCTTTATTTGTGAATCAATGCAGCCTAAATTCTACTTACTAAAGGCAGGTATTTCTCCTGATATTGACAAAAACAACTCCCATTAACATGATCCACTCTTTAAAGGACTTCAGATGAGTTATTTTTTTGCTATTTTAATTACAGTTAACTTATTTTTATAAATCCCACCACCTCTAGGGTCTGTAGTCACACATTTTTTAGAATAAATCTATACTCATAACATTTTGTCTATCATATCATTTATCATATGTTAAAAATCATTACATATTAAGAAATAGTACATTCTAAAGGTGACGTGAATTATTGGATTGTTGGTTGTTTTTTTTTTTAGTTTTCCTCACATTTATGTTTTCCCTAATTATCATTTGAAACTTAAAGATTTTGGTAATGAGAGATTTATTGGTTTCATGCTTAGCCTGTCCATTTGAGTGGCATTTTTATAGAAGGGAGGGAATGCCAAGTTCTGTTAGGTTACTTAGTAAAACCATCTGTTTCCATTGGTGTATTCTGTTTTTTTGCAGCCCTAGGCATGACAAAACACAGGCCCCCCATCCCCACCCCCCTTCCAAATTTCTCTTCCTAACAGACGCACGCCCTCACTGATGCATACACTGACATACACTCACAGATACACAGTAATTGTCACACACACTGTTTAACCAACACACACTTTCACTGAAACATACACATTCACAGACATACACACTCACTCATTCACAGTTACACACACACTCACATTCACAGACAGACACACATATACACTACCTGACAGGCACATACACACTCACTGACAAGACACACATGCATACTCACTGACAGACGCACACTCACTCAGTGTCACACACACACACACTGGGACACACATATGCTCACTGACAGATACACATACACACACACTCACTGACAGGCATATATACACTCAGTGTCAGACACACACATTCACTGACAGACACACACTCTCAGTGACAGATACGGATACACACACTGACACACGCATACACACACTGACAAACACATATACACTCTCAATGACAAACACACAAACTCACACTCACTGACAAACACATACACTCTCAGTGACAGACACATACACTCTTTGACAGACACACACACTCACTAACAGTCACACACACTCACGAAGACACACTCATTAATAGGCACACACACACTCTGTCTAACACTCTAACAGACACACACACTCTCACTAACAGACACACACACACTCTCACTAACATACACACACACTCTTACTAATAGACACACACTCTCACTGACACACACACGCTCTCACTAACAGACACACACTCTCACTAACATACACACACACTCTTACTAACAGACACACACACTCTCACTGACACACACTACCCTCACTAACAGACACACACACTTTCACTAATAGACACACACTAACACTCACTAACAGACACACATTCTCACTAACATACACACACACTCTTACTAATAGACACATACGCTCACTGACACACACTACCTCTCACTAACAGACACACACGCTCTCACTAACAGACACACACTCTCACTAACATACACACACACTCTTACTAACAGACACACACACTCTCACTGACACACACTACCCTCACTAACAGACACACACACTTTCACTAATAGACACACACTAACACTCACTAACAGACACACATTCGCACTAACAGACACTCACACTCTAAGAGACACACACTCTCACTGACACACACTAACACTCACTAACAGACACACACAAACACTCACTAACAGACAAACACACTCTCACTAACAGACACACACACACACACACACACACTCTATCAGGCACACACTCTGATACACACACTCTTACTAACAGACACACACTAACACACACAATTTTTTTTTTGCTTACATTTTGGTGAATTTTTCCCTGCGGTCCAGTAGGGCTGCTGCTGGCTGGGCTAGCAGATGGTCGGGGAGACAGGCGCACAGTTCAGGCGGGCGATGTGGGAGCTCTGATCCTCCTGCTCAGCTCCCTCCCGCAATTCGGCACTTCGGTTCGGTACTTCTGAAATTCGGGAGTTCGGCAATTCCCTAACCCTACTCCTACTACTAGGGTTAGGGGTAGGCTTAAGGGTAGGGCTAGAGGAAGGTTGGGGTAAGGGTTTGGGGTAGGGTTAAGGCTAGGGTTAGGAGTAGGGTTAGGGTTAGATTCCTGTCATCATTCCCTTCATTTTCCGTCCCTCTCCTGTTTTGCCACTTTTCAGAAATCCGAAGCACTTCGGCACTTCCGAAATTCGACACTTCGGCAATTCGGTTCTGCAATTTGGCACTTCGGACATTTGGAAGCATCTGAATGTCCGAATTGCCGAAATTCGTCCAAAATTTAAATTTGGACCAAAACGAATTGCACATGTCTAGTAATCAGTCTGGAAGCTCAGTTTGTGATTGACACATTTTTGAAAGCAGGGCAGGTCCCATGAGCATATTTTAAGGTGTTATTGTATCAATCTGCCCTGAATGCAATTATTATTTTTTTGTCCCTCTGTAATTATTTCCCCCCCCCCAAAATGTATTTTTGTGTGTTTCTATCTTTGTGAGTTTGTCTTTGCTGCTCACTTTCCATTTGTGTTGATTTTAATGTTCTGTTGACTTTTAATGCGTTTGGTGTGGTATAATTCAACCCATTTGTTGTTCGTTTCTTGCCCTGTCTTCTTTCGGTTTTTGGATTTTTTTTGGTCTTGTTATCCGTTTCTGTCTCCCCAACTTTAAATTTGGGATTTCTTTTGGACTGCTTCTATACATTTGTGGGTAATCTGTTCCAGGGACTGCCATCAGGGGGTACAGTCGCATAAGCCCCACATTCATAATGTGTTTATATATAATAATATAAATAAAGTCTTGCACACTGCCCAAACGTAGAAAAATTTAAATAACAAACTATGATGCTGCTCACCGCTGTATACACAATAAATAAAAAAATGAGAGCACTCGCTGGATTTTTCAAACAATGTATTAACCAAAATAATTAAATTAATAAAGACCGGTTGGTCAAAATGTTGATCCTTTGTTTTGGTTAATACATTGTTTGAAAAATCCAGCGAGTGCTCTCATTTTTTTTACTTATTGTGCATATATATATGCACAATATAGAGAGAGAGAGAGAGAAAGAGAGAGAGAGTGATTATCGCTATATATACACCCTGTGGACCTCTGGGCCACTGACTGCATATCTGTTCCTCTATTTTCATTTGACATTTTATTTGTCCCACTATAGCTTTGTTAAATTATTTCTTCTCCCGATATATCTGTTAAGTCTTTTTTAAACCCCACGCTCTCTCACATCGTGAGTCACAACAGTGTAAAATGTCAGGAATTCAAATTGAATTTCAAATTTTAGACAAATAGTATTTTATTATTTTTTTTTTTTATTATTCACAATGTGACTACTGTGGCCTAAAAGTTTAAATTCTAATTTTCTCTTATTTGGGCCCCTCACATATTCATTCACGATGATGTTTTGTAAAATTGTGCACAAATTCTTTTTAGCTAGTACGAATACCTCAAATTCCTTTTAACTGAATAAGACTCCACAGGTAAATCCCGTCTTGGTCGACTTATTCGGGCGTACATTAAAAGGAATCTGATTCACAAGTCTAATTATTTTTGTCCTCATTCCACTTATTATTATTATTTTTTTTATATATATTACACCGCGACCTCTCTCTATTTACTGCCTTTTCCTCGTTTTTGATTTGTGACTGCGAACGCGTTCCTCCACTGTTCTTTTTTTTACCGCGCCCCCTAATTTATGGGTTCCCCCTTTTTAACTCGCTATATAAAATATAATTCCTCCATTTTCCCTGATATTTGTGTCTCCATTTGAGCATCCTTATTTTTTTTTTCTGAAACCCTGGCATTCCTTGTTTCCCTAATCTTCATGTTTTGTCCCCCTCTCATTTTAATAATTGTGTGAAAATAATATGAAATTGAATCCCAATTCACAGCATTCTCTGGTAAACATCACAGCTAGAGGATATTTATGATTAACATGGTGCAAGGTTAACCCTTTATTGCCTGCATGTAATAGTCTCAGCAAGACATCTTTACACTTGCTGCAGCCTGCCTGCTACATAGCCCAAAATACTCTAGGTTAAACTGTATAGATATAGTAAGCTGAATGATGGTAAACTAAAAAAAGTCCATGCTAAAGTAGTTCTTCTAGGTGTTCTTCCCCCCTGGCTGAGGTGACAGGTGTGCTCCGCCCCGCGCAGGGATACACCGTTACAGGTACTACTACACCTCACAGTTACAAACCTGCGGGCCACGCCCTCGTGTCCGGCAACCACGCCCCCGCACTCTGTCATTGGCTGGCATCCCGAGTCCACGTCAATCATCTCTGTCACCTGTACGTTTTTAATCCTCCCTTGTAGGTCCCCGCCTGTCCCCCCCTCCTGCCGCTATGGGATGGGCTTGACCGTCCCCTGGGGCTGCTGTAGGTGAGCGGAACCATGTCAGCCGGGGAGGGGTGTGTGTCGTGTATATGGGATTGAGAGGGGGAGGAGCCTGGTAGAGGCGCTCTGCCCTCAGACATACTCCGTGCTGTGCACCTGCTGCTCTGTGCACCGGACAGGACGGGACCCCGGGAGCCGGGCACCCCAGGATCTGAGGGCAGGAGAATCCGGGAGCCAGGGCATAGCAGGGACCATAGAGGAAACAAGAGGATTTAACCGGATACAACTTCCATGGCCAGCCATTAATACCGGCTTATATCCTGTACCCCAACTGACATCATCTCATAAATACCCCCACTAACCTCATGTACCCCAACTTCCATCATCTCTCAGGGTGAGGGACCCCAACTAACATCCTGTACCCCAACTGACATCATCTCACAGGGACCCCCACTAACCTCATGTACCCCAACTTCCATCATCTCTCAGGGTGAGGGACCCCAACTAACATCCTGTACCCCAACTGCCATCATCTCATAAATACCCCAACTAACCTCCTGTACCTCAACTTCCATCATCTCATAGGAACCCCAACTGACATCATCTCTCAGGGACCCCAACTAACCTCCTGTACCCCAACTTCCATCATCTCACAGGGACCCCAACTAACCTCCTGTACCCCAACTTCCATCATCTCATAGGAACCCCAACTGACATCCTGTACCCCAACTTCCATCATCTCACAGGGACCCCAACTAATATCATCTCACAGGGATCCTCACTGCCATCACCTCACAGGAACCCCAACTAACATCCTGTACCCCACTGCTATCATCTCATAAATACCCGAACTTCTATCCTGTACCCCCACTGCTATCATCTCACAGGGACCCCAACTTCCATCATCTCATAAATACCCCAACTAACATTCTGTACCCAACTTCCATCATCTCATAAATACCCCAACTAACCTCCTGTACCCCAACTTCCATCATCTCATAGGAACCCCAACTAACCTCCTGTATCCCAACTTCCATCATCTCACAGGGTTCCCATCTTCTATCCTGTACCCCACCTCCCATCATCATCTCACAGGAATCCCAACTTCCATCATCTCACAGGGTCCCCATCTTCTATCTTGTACCCCACCTTCCATCATCTCACAGGGTCCCCATCTTCTATCCTGTACCCCACCTCCCATCATCTCACTGGAACCTCAGCTGCCATCCTGTACCCCACTTCCCCAAATTCTAAAAACCCCATTAACTGTTTCTCCTGCACACCATTCCTCCATCAGTTCAGCAAGAACCTCCTACCTCCTCTGTACCCCACTTCATATAAATTATTCAAGTACCCCAACTTTTTAGCCTATATCTGCACTCCCCATCAATTCTACTAGAAATCCAGTTCAGTACCCTTATATATCTCTCTTTCCATCAATTCAGAAATAACAATTTTTCTACTGCAGCTCACTTCCCATAAATTGTTAAAATCCTTTACCCTATTTCCGTCACTTCTACAATAAAAAAAACAGCTTCCTTCTTCAAGAATCTGAATTCCATCCTGTATCATTTAAATGAACCCCTGATTCCCCTCTCTACCACAGTTTCCATCAATTTAGTAAGTACCCTGCCCTTTTGTAACCCACTTACTATCACTTCTACAAGAAGCATGATTTCCCACTTGTATCACCATCACTTTTGTAAGCCCCCCTCCTGAATTCCTCTTGCACATTGCTTTTCAGACACTCTGTAAGGTCCCCACATTCAGAGCATTATCATCCTAAAAAAACCTCCAGCTTCTTTCCAACGTCTCTCCCTTTGGTCATTCTGTTCCATACCCCCAACCCCAACTTTCTGCCTTGGACCACATCAATAATTATTATTGATATATAAAAAAAACATATCAAAGCCTAAATAACCCACATCTTTCTATAGCATCCTGTATCCATTTTTCTTCCTTTCTCCAATCTTGTATCCTGTTCACCCTCTTTATTCTTTACACATTCACCCATTGGACATGCCCTCCATTGGCATCCCTGCCTACGCAGCCTCCATGATATTTGGCTGTTAACCATTCCTAACTTTTATTCAGCAAACTTGCCCTCACCTCATGCCCCTTGGGGGATCATCGACCTGCTGCGGCCATGTCTCTCCTGTGTGTCCGAGGTGAGTGGGGGTTAAATAGCACACAGTTTAATGTGATTTTTCTCATTAGTGGACTGTTTAATTTTATTTATTTATTTATTATTGAACTGTTTAATGTCATTCCACATTTTGTTATGTCAATTAATCTGATTCTTATTCTTCTCCTGTTTAATAAACGACATAAAAATTATAATTACTCCCCTGCTTTTGACACTTGTGGCATCGTTGATTTTTATTTAAAAATTGTTTTTTTGCACACAAAGTGCAACACGTATTATGGCAATTTCCCATTTATGAACAAGGATGTATATACATAATCCCTGTGGGTGCCAGCTGTTTATTTTTAACCATTTTTCCCAGATGTTCAGCACCCCCAGTGGTAATGTGCTGAGCATCTGGCACACTAATGTTGTTACTCAAAAGGTTGGTGGACACACAATGGCACTTTTCTGTTGTCATATGTGTATTGTGATGAGATGATTTAATGTGGTACTATATTAATGTACTAAACTGGGCTTATAAAATATATACAGTATTTGTATTACTTTTGCAGTGTGATGGGACCATCTTTATTATTTAAAAAAAAAAAAAATTTTAAATGTAGGATTTGCTCTAGCTCTCATACAGTATAAATGATTTTGGGTACTATTATTGTATTTCATCAATAAAGTGTAAGGAAGCAGAGATACAGTATCTTAAACGATTTACCTAATTATATTTAAACACTCTAAATTACAAAAATATACTTTTTTGTTTTTTTAAATATTTCCTCTGTGCAAAATTATTGCAAATGTGCTTGACTACGTCTAACCGCGTTACTTACAACGGTTCTAGACAATTTTTACATTTCAACTAATTTTGTCTTAATTGTGCTGTGTTGATTTCAGCTTGGTCCATTTAATCAATCAGCCTCAATGTATATTCTTTCTATAAAATATATGATCTCTTTGACTGTTGTTGATCTTTGGTGCAATTGCAACTGGTTAACAGCAATACTGAAGGAACACTCTGGGCACCAGCATATCTTAAAAATGTTCGCAGGTCATCATAACCGCTTCGTATCAATGATGTTGAATGGTGCCTGCAGGTTATGGATATTGTCTTACCCTAAGGCAGTGGTTCCCAAACCAGTCCTCATAGCCCACCAACAATCCAGGATGTAGGCATTTCCTTTTTTTTATTCCAATGGATATACTGACTGTTGGTGGGTCATGAGGACTGGTTTGGGAACGACTGCCCTAAGGGTTTAAAACTAGTTATGAATGGTTTAACCCCAAAGTGCTCCTGGTGGTGCTTGTTCTCCAGGCCCTTTGAAATGCTTCTGATGGTGCCTGTTCTCCAGGCCCTCTGCCTCCGACCTTGGCTTCAGTGCTGGAGTTTTGCACTGAGCACCAGGACCTCACCAGACTCCCTTAACCCGTCATTGGCCAACCATGAAAAAAAAAATGCGTTGGAATGATAAGGGGAAGCGTGGCTAAGGTGGCAGGGTTATGCAGCTAGAATTTATTTTCTTTTAAGCAAAAAGAGAGATTTTTGAATTGGGAGAATATGAAAGTAAAACCAAATCAAATACTCTTAAGTAGCGTTGCTACCCAGCATTTACCTTGAGTGTTCTTTTAAGTTTGGAAAGTGGCACATCATTACAGTATCTCTTAAAAATGGTGTCACATTAGCTCGAACTTATATGTATGACACTGAAATAGAACTGCTCTCAAGTCACCAGAATGCTTGAAAAATGTGTGTAGCCTCCAAAACCCATGGGCACTGTTGATGTTGTGGACTGCAAGTTCTGCAACCACAGTCATTCTTAGCTTTGCTAAACCTAGCTGAAATTGATGGGTTAGTCAATCTTTTTAAAGGGTTAAGCCAACAACAAAAAACTGTTTAATAAAACAGTTTTTAGTTAGTGATCCATGTTGTGCTGGTCCCCACACACATTCATTTAAAAAAAGAAATCTATAAAATAAAACTAAAATTTACCACCATTCTAGCATCAAAGCCAAGTTCTCCCTGCAACCTGATCCTCCCCCAGTGATGTCAGTAGTCTCATAGCGAAATGTCGCCTTGTATAAACTCCAGGCACCACAGCCATTTTAAACCACTGACATTGTCAGGGCCGTCTTTAATATTGATTGGACCCTGGGCAAGCATCTGCTTGGGCCCCCTGGGCATGCAATCACTCCCTCCATCCCAACCTAGAGGCGAAACTAATGTAGAGAGTGCCTTGGTGCAAAAAAAAATAATAATTCAGGCCTGCCCTGTAGCACAAGAGTAAAGAAAAGATAGATCCCCATTTGTCATACAACTCCTGCGATGCTATGCCAGGTGGGGATCTACCATCCTTGCAGGGTTGTATTTTTGAACAGTGTTTGTGCAATTGAATGTCAGCATGTTATTGTATAGAGTGTATGTGTGCATGTAGGGGTGTATTTGTATGTACTGTTACCATTGGAATGCAGTGGTGTACTTGTGTGTAGTGTTTGCGTTTGAATGCAGTAATGTGTGATTGTCTGTAGTGTTGGCTTTTAAATGCATGTGTACTTTTGTGTGTAGAGTTGGTGTTTGTATATAATTTTTGCGTTTTAATACAGGAATGTGTTTGTATGTAATGTTTGTATTTGCATGCAGGGGGTTGTTTGGCTGTAGTGTTGTGTACATTTGTGTGTAGTATTGGTGTTTCAGCAAACTTGTGTGTTTGTGTTTGCAGGGCTCTCTTTGCATGTTGTGTGATTTCTATAACACATATACACGTACACATTAACACGCAGATACACACATAGGCACACTGACACATGCTCACACCTTGACACATACTGGCACATACACACACACACTCAGATACACACCCTTTGACACACAGATACAAGCACTTTGATACACACACACACTGGCACATCCACACACAGAGGTACACACACACTGACACAGGTATGTACACACACACTCAGATACACACATACATAAAGGTATAAATGCAGGGGTGTATATGTGTACAGTGCTAGAGATGGAGTGTATTTGTGTTGGCATTAAAATGCTGGAATGTATGCATTACCAAACACTCAGATACACACTTACACACACTGACACATACACACATACACACTGACACACAAGTACACTGACACACAGACAAACACAGCCAGATACACACACTGACACAAACACAGCCAGATACACACAAGGACATAAACACAGCCAGATACACACACACACACATATATGTGTACATTTACATATTTTAATCTCTGCCTTCTAACAGCTCTTGGACAGCAACTCCCAACAACCTTGGCCATAATAATGTCTCAACTCTGTTCTTACATACACTGGTCCAGAATTTGGCAAAAGTGACATTTGGAAATGGTATACTGCCTTTAATAACACTTGATGCAATAATATGTTAAAATAAATACTTTTAAAATTTATATTTAATAGGGAACTGTCAGGTTCTTCTAGGATTTTTAACATGTACTTATTCCCTGTGTGTTACTGATACCGGAGAAACTGACGGAAGCAAAGCACAGAGAGATGGACACAGGTTTCTTCAGGAAGGAAGAGATTCTTTATTGGATCACCGATCGGGACTCAGAGGGACTAATGTCACCAAAAATACAGCAAGTTCTGAGCTCCGAACAATAGTGCAGGCTCCCTATATAGGCACATAACTCCTCCCATATTAAGCTCCACCCGCACATTCTCTTGACCAATCATTACAAATAAGAATTAACTTCCTGTTTGACCGCATGGCTTGTCCAGCACAATGGAGGAGGGGAATACTACATCCTGTATTCTTGCACATGCTCCGTACACTACTGATCGTATCTTGCCTCGTGCAACCAACTGATCGATACGTCAGCATATGCACGTACACATTCCACGTGGTAATCTCGGCCTACTAAATTTATTTTTACCGAGATTCCACCACATTCCCTCCTTTGATGCCTCTTGATATTTTACAATTACTTGAGGCATCACTTAACCTTGGTTTGCATACACCACAAGTTACCTTTGAACCAGACCAGACTTATCCTATGATGTGAATCTTCAACACTCGCCTTCCTGCATTGGTTCTCCCTGATCTAGAGCCTTATATTTATAAATTGCCATTATCTGTGCAGCAGCCTTCCTCTCTGCTATATTTTCTATCAGGCTTTGCACAGACCTAACTACTAAGGGTATAAGACACGGCAGGAGTAGACACAACATTAAAATCAGTAGGACTCCACCTACCACCGCCTTAAGCCCTCCAAACCACTCATACCAGCTACCAAACCAACTACTTGGATTGTACCCTTTCCATACCTGAGTAGGCACATGCGCTAGTTTAACCATATGGCTAGTAAGCTCAGCTATTGCTTGCCCTTCGTCATCTATTTGAAGACAGCAATTGCTCAGGTTAAACTTCCCACATACACCTCCCTCTACTGCCAAAAGATAATCCAAGGCTAATCTATTTTGGTAAACCGCTGTCCTCATCCTGGTATTATGCTTCGCTAGAAGATTGAGCGCTTGTGATGTCTCGTTAGTAATGATCTCAACCACCGCCTGTAACCTTATAATGCGGTTGAGCATATAAATCGGGGTTCTATAACCAAAGGTACCATCCTCTGCCCACGTGGCTGGCCCATAATAATCTATAATACGCTGGGGAGGCCATTCATTATCTTCCCAGGCACCCATCTCTATGGGTCCCCTTTTCTTCCTATGATTCACATCATACACTTTAACACCTAAAGTCTCACCTGTTTCAATAGGCAACAAGAAGAAGGATGGTTTTAACATACCCAACACACATGCCCCTTCCCAGTCCTGTGGTAACTCCTAATAGGCCTTCTTACCACAGATCCAGTACAAATTCGCTGGGGCTCTCCAGTTAGATGTGATGGATAGATCAAACCATACGTCCTT